CCAAAGGTGCCCTCAACCGGCCGCCATGTTTTAGTTTCAATTCCTCACAGCGAATCGGCGATCGCGAAACCTCACAGCGAATCGGCGATCGCGAAAAGGGAGTTCCGCTTCTATAAGTGTAGAATTCTGTTGGTGGGGGAAAACACAGCGGGCGAGTTAGCCTAGAGAACTGATCGCCAACGCCGAGCTGTCAACGTCGCTAATGCTAGAGAAAGTTGAGCAACACCATCACCAGGGGAGATAACAAAAAGAAATAAACAGAACACCAAACTCATAGATTAGGCCTACTTTTTTTTATTTCCTTTGAATTTATTACTGGATCCCTTTTAACGAGGATCCTGCTATAACGGACATTTCGTACCGGTCCCCTCCCTCTCGTTATAACAGGATTCCACTGTACCGACAGAAGACAACGACACACACACAGTCAAACTACACATCTTATCACTATACAGAGACACCGCATGGCAAGCTCGCCTTCTGACAACTTTTTGTAACACCCACCACACACCCACCACCATCATGCACATGTACACACACAAACTTATACACACACTAACTAAACACGATCAGTGGGCAGCGTTTGAACGCATGACGAGCTGAGCTGTTGATGGAGAGACAGTGTGAGTGACAGAGCGGGTGAAAGGAGGAATGTACGAGTATATCCACAGGCGACAGAAACTAGGCCTAGCCTACCAGACGACGACGCGGCGCAACGACGACACCGACCCTCCACTCCCGGCCTGGTCCACGGCGCAGCTCACGAACGGAAGGAATGCGGCTCAGGCAGTTTTGCCAATATTATTGTCCATAGTTCGAGGAGTGCAAGTGAATGAGTGAGATTTTCTTTGTGCGTGCCTGGAGGGAGGGGGCGGGGTGTGAGAGTTATGCGGACGGGGATGAGCCGCAGGAGAGAACTTGTGAATTACCTGAGTGAGTGAAAGAGAGGGACGATTTATGAGCCCTGGAGAGAATGGATCCTGTGTTCTATTGTGTATACTTTGATTTTTCTCGAAATAAAGGCTGAAATAAAGCCCTAAAAAACAGATACACACACACACTCTCTCACTCTCT